ACATAGTGAAGCTCTTTTGGGAGTCCTCAATTTTTAAGAGTATAAGGGGGTCATGTGACCACAATTTTTAAGAACTATCATTCACCATGATTTGACAGAACACACACTATCTTTTTGCTTGTGACTCTAAACACTTGGCATATTCAACAAAGACCTATCACCTTAAATTCCAACCTGGCTATAATCCAATCTGGCTTTGTGACCAAGATTGTCTAATGACTTTGTATATAAATACTACTGCAAATAATAATGATTGATTTCTTTATTTTGGTATTTTTCTGTAGTAACCACATTTATTTTGATACATGAATCTGGCAGACATAACACATTTTTTTGTATGTGGGGAGGAAATAAAGTTCTACTATGCCAATTTAATAGATAAAGAAACTGAATACTCAAAAAAGTTAAGTGACATGTCCAGAGGCACTTAACTAGGAAGCATTAGAGCCTGGACTCAAACCAGGACCTTCTTTCTCAATATTCTTTTCATTACACCAGACTGACTTGCTTTTACAGTTTATAAAGGGCTTTCCCCAAAGCAACTGATAAAGTATGTCTTGAAAGTATTATTACTTTCATTTTTAAGTTGAAAAAACTGAGCCTCAGACAAGATATAACTTACCCATAGTCACATGGTAGGACCAAGATTCAAATTCATATCTTCTAATTCCAATCAAAAGTTCTTTCCAATATATTACACAGCCTCATCAAGAGATGCAAAATCTGACTTCTACACCACATATGCTTTAAAAATAACTTGAGATATCCGAAATTGCTTTTCAATGAGTTCCTTAATACCTTAGTTATTTTAGAAATTCTCACAGAGGTAGAAGTATAAGTGACATGTAAATATGCTGTCATGGATAATTCTATGTAGGTATCTTCTATAGCTAGCCACAGTCAATCTCTGAGCCATCTGCTGTCTGGAAGATCATAAAATTCAGGAGTTTTTGTTTTTGTTTTTTAAATCAAAAGCCTATCCCTGGTTTCACATCAAGGCAGATATTTTTAAATTTTTTACAGTGAATAAGTGGAAAAATTATTTGTTTACTACTTGGCATGATTCTTCTTGTTATAGGGAAATGACAGATGGCCAGGTAGGTGAAGCAGTTAAGAATGGCACGTAGCTATTGCAGTTCAATAAGATGTAGGGAAGAGACAAAAGTCACTGCCAATGCCATGAATCCAACAAAGTAGGATAGCTAACTTACAAGCAATTCCATCATATCCCATTTTTTACCAAAACTGAAAAATATCTAAAGCAAAACATCTTTCCTTTCCCTCCCCCAGATTGGTTCCTCCTCATGATCTCCCTGTTTCTGTTAATGGTACAAGTCTCCCACTTAACTTGCATAAATTCTTGGTACCCTCTTTGATTTCTCTTCATCACAAGTTATATTGAAATAACGCCAAGTTCCATGAATTCTACTTCTCCAGTATCTCCAATATTCACTCCATCTCTTTTCCATTTTTGTTGCTACCACTATAGACGTCTCTCCCCTTTACTTAATAATAGTCTCCAAAGTAGTCTTCCTCTCACTAACTCCTGTTCAGGATTATCTACCCCCTTTCAGTATGTCTTTTGCAGTGGTGCTATACATATCTTCCTGATTCAGAGATGTGGCTATAGGAATATAGATTTAGAGCTGAAAGGGTCATTAGAGGTGATCTACACCAATCCATTCATTTTATATAAGAGGAACTGAGGCCTAGAGGTTGACTGACTCGTCCAAGATTATCCAGGTAGTGACAGAGCCAGATTTGTACCAGATCACCTTTGTACCAAGCTGCTATATTACTCTACTGATCAAAATTCTCCAATATTTCCATATTTACTATAGAAAAAGCCTTGGACTCCTTGACACGGCATTCAAAGTCATAATTTGACACCAATTTACCCCTGCAGTCTTATCTTACACTACTTTACTTAATATATGTCTGAATTTCAGGCTTTAATCATCAGTTAAGTCTCTACTCAAATGACACTTTTTCCATGAAGCCTACTTTGATTCATCCCAATGTAAAATGATTTTTCCTTCTTCAGAACTTGAAAGATATTTCGTATCTCTAATATGTACTTGTCATACATCCAACTTCATGACCACATTTAGGTTTTGTTTGTTTTTTCTTTTTTTTTTCCCCACAAAGATACTGGAATGGTTTATCATTTCCTTGTCCAGCTCATTTTACAGATGAGGATCTAAGGCAAACAGGGTTAAGTGACTTATCCAGGGTCACACAGCTAGTGAAGTGTCTGAGGTCACATTTGAACTCAGGAAGATGAGTCTTCCTGACTTCATGCCAGGCACTCCATCACTGTGCCACCTAGCTGCCCTTGTCATACATACTTCACTATAAGATTGAGAGGTCCTTGAGGGCAGAGACTGAAGCCTTATTTAAAATATATGTGCCTCTAGCACTTAGCATAGTATTTTTTCACACGGTGATACTTAATATATCTTTGCTGAACGAATTTTGAATGAACATGCATGGGTACTCTATACACTGAATACTTTCACTGTCTTTTATAATGGAAGATAATGGAGGTGGTACATCATCAGTGAAAGATATTACTCTAGCAAGTAAGTTAATAGAAATAGAAAGTAACAGGTCACAATTTGCTATAAACTTTAAAATGTCCACAGCTTTAGTGAAATGTTTCAACAAAGACAAGGTACAAATGTGAAATGAGAGCAAAACACAGTAATATTGTGTTGGTCATGTCATTGCATAATATTTCTAAGAAAGTAAAACTGAATATTGATCCAATGAGAAGAAGAGGCCTCTCTGTGATGAAACTCCCAAATCAGGAAGTTGGAAGGCCTAGAGGATATTAAGTTCAATGCAATCTCAAAATCTCAGTTCGGAATTCTCTCTGTTCTGGAGCCAATTTTCTTTGCGAAGCAGAGAAACTCAGGAATTTATCATGTCTAGTAAGAGAAATAGCCCTCCAAAGATTTATTAGATTATTATAAACTTCATGTCCATGAAAGGGAATGTTAGAGAATCTTCACTCTTGACATGAGGGGGGAAAGGCTAAATGTTTCTTTTTTGAAATGACAAGGCAAAGGACATTCTTGAAGTTCAGCATTATAAGAAATACTCAGATTACCTCAGTTTCTAGGATCTAACCAGATCTTTGTTTTGAACACACAGAAATCTGAAGGAATTTTAGATGTTTAAAAAATAACAAAATTTAATCCCTACACTTTTCATCCTTGTCATAATTACAACAGTGATATATCATCTTCCACTAAGGTTCTATTCCAATGCTTTGTTATGGAATGGGGGCAAGCCTGTTCCAAACTGGAAAATCTTGGAACAATATTATTAATAACAATAACAACAACAATGGGGAATTGCATCATGCTTTAAAGGTTTGCAAGTGCTTTAATCTATACTAGTGGTTTCCAAAGTTTTTCTTCCACAAACCTCTTTCAACAACATAAAAATGTGCTGTGAATTCCCAGGGTAATTCAATATTGCAGGTCAGTTGTTTTTCAGTTGTGTCAATTCTTCATGACCCCTTTTGGGGTTTTCTTGGCAGAAACACTGGCTTGGTTTGCTATTTCCTTTTCCAGCTTGTTTTACAAATGAGGAACTGAGACAAGCAGGGTTGAGTGACTGGCCCAGAGTCACATAGCTAGTAAGTATCTGAGGCTGGATTTGAATTTAGGAAGATGAGCCCTTCTGACTCCAGGCCCAGCACTCTATCCACTGTGCCATCAACTGCCTATAATTTATTACTATATAATAATATACTCTTTATAGTCAATATACTCTTTATAAGTATTTACTGCTCAAGGCATCATTGAAGAAAAAAGGAATCAACTCGCCCATCTATACAATATCATTTGTTTGGAGGCATGGTGATACGGACTGTATATCTACTGCCTGAGGGGAAGTTCAGAGAGGCTCAAAACAGGACAGATAGCCATAAAGAGAAACATTTTTAGTCATTCTAAGTCATGAAAAGTCATGAAGGTAGGGAGCAGGGTAGTGATCTGTACTGATGGAAAAGAGAGCTCCTACTGATGGAACTGTTAACCTTCAAATATTTAAGAACAGATTCAAAGTAAAACCTAATAGATAGGTGTGTCCAATTAAACTTTGGTCTTCACTTTATATAAAATAAAACTTCTAACCATGGCTTTTCTTCTAATCATCACTTCAAAAGCAGCATACTTCACTTCAATCTTTTTTAAAGAATCCAGATTTCTCACATCATAGAATATTCAGAGAAATTTAAAACTTGGGACCAGTGAACATAATACAAGAGATTCAAGGGGGGGAAATACAGTAATTCCCATAGAATTATAGATAGCTGATTAAACTATGAAATCTAAAAATCAATAAATACATTGGACTGAAATGCTGGCCCATTTAATTTAGCTCACAAGTCAAGTTAGGAACTCATGGGGAATGGTTTGTGAACAAATCAAAGTAGATTCTTAATTCTTCATTGCTCCTCACAGGTGATGCAGTGGATAGGGCACTGGGCCTGGACTCAGGACTACCTGAGTTTAAATGGAACCTCAGACACCTATTAATGTGTGAGCAAGTCACTAACCACTGTCAGCTTCAGTTTCCTCAACTGTAAACTGGGGATAATAATAACACCTTCCTCAAGAGTTGTGAGGGTCAAATGAGACATCTTTTTTTCTTTCTAAATTGCATAGTATAGTAGCTAGCACAGAAGAGGCACTTAATAAATGGTTTTTTCCTTCCTTGCCTTCCCTTCTTCATATACCATGGATTGCTCATGCTTACTCATACATTGCTGTGGAGACTCACATTTCTATCAATTAGCATTGATTTAGCATGCAGGTTCTTTACCAATGATAATTTTCCTTCCATCCTTACTTCAAGTTTCAGTCTCTTATGTGTCTATGAAAACTAACCCCTCTTTAGCCAATGATTTTTGAAGAGGAAAAAACCACACAAAGGTAAATAACTGTAGTTTACTCACATTTGTTTTAAATCCTGAAAAAAAATCTTACCTGTTGAACAGCATCTGAACACTTTTTCTGTGTTTCCAAAATGGTAGCTTGAAACTCTAGATTAGAAAAGATAAAAAAGAGTAAGTATATCATGAAGAAAGAAATTATCATGACATGACATATTAATGACAAATGCATTTCATCATTTCCCTGCCTCTGCTTACTTCATTTTGTATCAGTTCATATAAGTCTTCCCATGTTTTTCTGTAATATTATGCCTAACAGCGTAGTGATATTCTATTATATTTATTTAACACAATTGATTTAGTCAGTAGGAGCTCTCTTTTCCATCAGTACAGATCACTACCCTGCTCCCTACCTTCATGACTTTTCATGACTTAGAATGACTAAAAATGTTTCTCTTTATGGCTATCTGTCCTGTTTTGAGCCTCTCTGAACTTCCCCTCAGGCAGTAGATATACAGTCCGTATCACCATGCCTCCAAACAAATGATATTGTATAGATGGCTGAGTTGATTCCTTTTTTCTTCAATGATGCCTTGAGCAGTAAATACTTATAAAGAGTATATTGACTATAAAGAGTATATTATTATATAATAATAATGACATGGGTGATAAATATAGCTTCTTTTAAATAGGTTTTATTGATGCATTTTGTTTTTATATCACCTATTTTCCTCCTGAATCCCTCCCTACTTTGAGATCCACATCCATATGACAAAGAATTTTTTTTTAAAAAACTGGAAGAAAAGAAGAAAATCAGCAAAACCAATCATTGTAGCCAAAAATAAAAAATCAAAAGTTATATGCAATATTTCAAACCAATGGACACAATCTCTGCAAAGGAGTTGGGTATGTGTGTATCTTATTATATCTTGTTTCTGAGACCAAATTCGATCATTATAATTTTGTAGCATTCAGATTCAATTGGTTTGTTATTGTTCTTGCATTTATATTGTTGTAATCATTTTCATCATTTCCCTGCCTCTGCTTACTTCATTTTGTATCAGTTCATATAAGTCTTCCCATGTTTTTCTGTAATATTATGCCTAACAGCATAGTGATATTCCATTACATTTATTTAACACAATTGATTTAGACATTCCACAATTAATAGGCATCTACTTTGTTTCTAATCCTTTGGTGACACACAAAGCACAATCATAAATATGTTAGTGTCTATGTAAACTTCCTTTTAGTAATTAACTGGGGTGTGTGCCTAGCAGTTAAATTTCTGATTCAGAGGGAATGAGCATGATAGTCACTTCATTTGCCTAATTTTAAATTGCTTTCCAGAATGATTGTACTAATTCATAGCTCCATCAATATGGCATTAGTGTACCTACATTTTCATAACCCCTTCAGTGTTAACTATTCCCATGTTTTGTCATCTTTGCCAATTTGCTAGATGTAAAGTGTAACCTCAAAGTTATTTTGGTTTGTTTTTCTCTTATTAGTTATTTGAAGTATTGTGTGTATATGTATACACATGTGTGCATGTATATACATACATAAATATATAAGCAGTTTACAGTTCTTATAATTGGAATGCATATGCACATATATATGTGTATGCATATATATATACTATGTATGTGTTTTAGTAGTTTACAATTCTTTTGAGAACCAAATGCATTAAAATTATGTCCAGGGTATTTTAATAATAGAGTTTGAGTATATGGATTTTTTTTTACAATATATGAAAAAATAATCTTTGCTTTGTAACATAGGTATCACGTTAACCAAGAGTTTAGTTATCAAAAACTAAAAAGAATCAGATACCCTTCCTTAAATGTTAGACAAGGATATGTGAATCAACCTACACCATTTGTTGCCTAACAAAAATATAAACAAACAAAAAACCATCACAGAACCAGGAAAATTCTGTTTATCTACAGTATATCTTTTTTTAATTTTATTTTTAGGCAATTTGGGGTTAAGTGACTTGCCCAGGGTCACACAGCTAGTAAATGTCAAGTGTTTGGTCTGAGGCTGTATTTGAACTCAGGGCCTCCTGATTTCATGGCTGGTGCTCTATCCACTACGCCACCTAGTTGCCCCTATCTACAGTATATCTGAAAGGATATTTCCAAAATGCCATCAAATTAAATGGTCCTGTACTATCACCAGTTAAAAGCACATGACAAAGTAAGCTGTAGGCTGATTAATTTTTCAGCCACAGCAACTCTCAAAGATTATCTAGTAAGTTGGAGGGTTTATGACCTGCCTCAGGGAGTACTCAAACAGACAGAATCAAATGTCCCTGATGTACTCACTTGGATCATAAACAACCAACCTCTTTTTCCGGGTGAAAGTTCTATAAATTTGACTAAGGGGGTCAAGGTGTTCTTAAAGCCATTTGCTTCTTCAGGACCTGTTCACTTAGGCTTCATGGGAATCACAAAATGTTAGATCATCTAATACAGCTCCCTCATTTAAAAAATAAGAAATCTGAGAATCCAAGAGATTCAAGGGTATAAGGGTATAAGATTAGTTAGTTGCCTATCAGGACTAAAACCTAGATGTCCAATTTATTCTGCATATAATCTTGTTTCTACATAGTTGCTTGCATGTTATCTCCCCTATTACACTGTAAGCTCTTTGAGAGCAGAAACTGTCTCTTATTTTTCTTTATATCCCCAGTGCTTAGTAGGCAATTGATAAATGCTTATTGATTGATCTCTTGACTCTACTACTCCAATGCATCTTTAGTTGAAATTTAGAATACACAGTAGACTAACCAGCTTCTGAATTTATTGCCAAGCATATTTTTATCATTCTAATTGAAAGCAAAGAGACACCTATGACACATTTTTTTAAAGATTTAATGGGCTGTCTCACTCACAATCTTCTTTTGGGGTCAGGGAAATGGCTTTCATCTCTGGGAACTGGTATTTGCCATAAATAGAATGCAAGCACTTTGAAGGCAAGGCAAGAACTATCTCACGTTTACACTTTTGTTCTAGTAGCTAGCACATGATTGAAATTTATCAAATGTTCACTGATTAAGTGGTTAACTATAGGAGACAAAAAAATAATATGAGAAATTTAATCAGAATATTTATAAATATTGCAATCTCTTTACTTTTCCTGGGACCTGCCAATAAATATATGCCTTTTGAAACTTAAAACTCCATTGTTCCAATGGAGAACAGCCTAAAGTGGAAAGATAAAAACTTAACATAGGAGACATCATAGTGGCCATAAGAAAAGAAACACATAATGCCATTAAGAATATTTTTTGATGATTTTCCCTGGTGAACAGACACTATTAATAAAAATTGGATTTTCTTTCATTTTATGATTGCTAAGCTCAGAGGTAGGGATTACCATTATTATTGAAACCTGATTTTTAATAAAGGCCTTTAACATCAAAGCTAAACTATTGTCAATATTTGATGGCAAATCTGGGTCCCAATAATACTTAATAGCTTTTATATACATATAGTACATTCCAGATTTATTTTGATAATGTCAGACCTGGGAGCCTTCCAGGAAAAGTAAAAGTCTGAACTTTCATGGCAAGTAAGATACTGTGTCACAATTAATGATCAACAGGCTGAATTATAACGATGTACAGGTCAATACACTGATCTTTTAACACCCACCATTAGTTTTCTAGAACTTAAATGGCTTATGTTAAAGGTTCATTATTTTCTCCCAACCAGAATTCTCTGAAGTCAGTTTTTGTCTCAAACCTTTTCATTTTAAAAACCACCTCATTAAAAAACAAACAACACTAGGTGTGATTTTGTTATGAGCAGAGGGCAAAATGAGGTTCTTCCTCAGAACAAAATGTTTTTGAGGAAGGCATAAGTATCCTGACTTTAAAGTTAAACTTTAAAGAAAGATCAGTGAGAGAGATGGAAGATGGGACTTTAAAAAGAAAGGAAATGCAAAGGAAAGGATTAAAAAAGAAAGAAGGAAATTTTTATGTGGTCACATATAAAAGGATGAGAAAGGATGAGGAAGGAGGAGAGAAAAGAGGGAAATAAAGGGGGAGACAGAACACAGGAAATGAAGAGGGAGAGGAAAGCAGGAACAGAGGAGGGGAAAAAAGAGAAGAAAGGAGTTAACAGAAGAGAAAAGGGGGATATAAACAAATCGTATTCAAAAGAAATTCAAACTAATAACAACCATATGAAAGATTGTTTTAAATCATTAGTAACAAGATGAATGCAAATTAAAATAACTTTTCTGTCACACTCAAACTGACAAAGTAAAAAAAGACAAAAAATTTAAATAGTCCATTTTGGTGGCTCTTTGGAAAGGCAGGCATATATGCCAGTGAAAAATGTGAATTGGAACAACCATTCTAGAATATAATTTGGAATTATGCAAAAAAATGACTGAAATTTCCATTCTTTGTTCCAGAGATAATTCTGCTAGGATTCTATCCCAATATGGTTAAAGATAGAGAATTCCCAAAGTGTATCAAAATATTCATAGCACTAGTTTTTATATGAATGAAGAACTAGAAACAAACTGTGTAAAAAAATGTTGGTACATGCATGTAATGGAATATTGCTGCAACACATGGAATGATGAATAGGAAGAATTCAGAAAAACATAGGAAAACAGATTGATGCAGTGAAATAAGCAGAACTGGGAAAATAATATATGCTATGACTACAACAATGTAAATGAAAAGAACAAGACTACAAATCTCAGTGCTGTCTAACTATCATGACCACTTTCAGTCCTGAAGAAGAATTAAGAGATATGTCCCCTTTCATGGCAAAAGTAGGGAGTTTTGGCAGTAGCATATTCCATATGCAGTCATACAAGGCTGATACAGGCTGGTTTGTCTTACTGAACTGCCTTTCCTACTCCCTACATTTAAAAACAACAACAATAACAACAACTTTGTTACAGGGAAATTCTGACTTCTTATGAAATATGAATTTTATGTAAAAAAGGCTTCCATAAAAATATATTTAATCAAGCAATGAAAGTAAACCTAGTAAGTATTTAAAAAGAAAAAAAAAGAAAGGAAGAATGTCAACAGGAAGTGAACTGAAAATAAGAATTTGAGAGAAAACAGGAGAAAATGAGAGGTGAAAGGTAAGAGGTATTTACGAAAAGAATGAAACTACAAGAGGAGGGAGAAAAGTAAGAAAGAGAAAAAAGGGAGGGAGAGAGATTAAGAGAAAAGGATGAGAAAGGATGAGGAAGGAGGAGAGAAAAGAGGGAAATAAAAGGGGAGACAGAACACAGGTAATGAAGAGGGAGAGGAGAGCAGGAACAGAGGAGGGGGAAAAAAGAGAAGAAAGGAGTTAACAGAAGAGAAAAGGAGGTAAGTATAGGTTGAGAAGAGTAGGAGGGAAGAAAACAGACAAGAAATTTAATAGAAGAAACTAAACAAAAGGAATGGAACTGTCCATTGGTGACTTCTTTACAAAAGAATGTGATGACTCGGGTCTACAGTGCTAAAAAGTTTCTGGCACTATCTCCTTAGCTAAGTATTCCCAGATCACCATAGCTAGATGTCATTCCTCCTCTTTTCGAATACTTATTTCCACCCTATTTAGTCCACATACCACCCATTTATAACATATTTGCTGGCTCATAGTATCTTTATATAAAAGTCCTTCATATCTTCATGGTTGCTTCTTAAAAGCAGAGATCTTGTCTCATTCTTTGTAATATTAAATTTATTTGCATTCTCCACACCACCTTGCATGAAATACTTTATAATTGTACTGAATTGCTGAAGAATTACCCGTTTGTGGTCATTGTTATTGTGTTGTTTTTTTTTTCTAGAATGACCTACAGGGACCAAATTATTTTTCAGGTAGCTCTAGTTGGAATTTAGTCCAAGAAGAAGAAAAAGTTGGGAGATAGAAGCAAGGGAGGAGAAAATTGAGAATAGTACATAAGAATAAGGTAAGATGGAAACTGGAAAACAAAAGGTAAAGAAAAATAGATGGAATTGTTTTTTTCTTTTAAAAAAGTTTCTCCAGCTTCATCAGTACTAAGTATTGAAAGCTGGTCACAATCTGATTTCATCCTTTCTAGGCATATTATACATTGCTCTCCTCCATGTACTCCAGAAACTAGCCAAATCAGTCATCTTGCTGTTCCTCACACAAGACAGCCCATATCCCATTTCCATACCTTAGGCACATATGCTCCCACCATACTTAGAATGCATTCCCACCTCACCTCTACCTTTAAAAATACTTAATTGCTTTCAAAACTTAGCTCAACTGCTTCCTTCTACATGAAGCTTTTCCTGATATGTCCCCCCAGCCAGCTGCTAGTGCCTCTCCTTCCCCCCTCCAAAACCCTCATATTAATTTATAACATATTTGGTATATACTCATATGTGTATATGAATTTTTTCACAACAGAATTTGAGCTCTTTGAGGGTGTTTCTTCATTTTTTTCTTTGTATCCCCAGCACCACTACAGAGTCTTGTAAATAATGGAAGTGAAACAAATACTTGTTGAATGATTGATTATTCATCACCAAAAGCTTGTGTAAACAACATGAGGAAGAAGTTTGAAACAACTGAGGCATACCAATGTAGATAAAACCAATTATATCATAAGAACAGAAGTCTTTTTTTTTAAGCTAACTTATTTTTTTTGTCTGCAAAATCCTTGTGAGAGAGGTCCCAAACTTAGACTTTGACTCAGCTGATTTAATTTCATAGGATTCATGGTAGATTCTATGTCAAAACTGTTTTCTTGGGAGAGTTGGAAAAGAGAGCTTAAACAGAAGAGAGCGACAATGTACAGAGAAAGTGTGAGATAAGAGAAAGACAGAGAACTGGACACCAAATAGAAATTGACAGGATATATGATTTGTACCCAAACCAGAGCTGGGCAAAGCATGGAAAGGAGAGAAAAGCAATGCTCCAGATTTTCCCAGATGTTCTACTTACAATAGAAATTTGTCTTATTCCCAAAATAAGACAAATGATTATTAAAGGTGGGGTGTGTGTTTTTAAGCAGAAATGGTATGAAGCTATGTATGTGTTTCGGGGTTCCAACTCTCCAATGCCTTTACATATTTATAGCACTGTACAAATATTAAATGATAACATGTTTCTCAATTCAGGTTATATAAGCTAGGAAAAATGTCTCAACTACTAAAATAAAATATCCTCTACTTACCTTCAGTATCCTCTGCAAGGATGCATATTTTAAAGAGAGACAAGTTTGATACATTACAATTATTTGTATTGTAGCTTTATGGATTGCATCAAATAATATAAATGGATAATCATTCTGGAAACTATTATTATATAAATTCCAATAATACTCTTCTAACTAAAAATATTTTCTTAGTGAAGAAACTAAAGCCTAGATCTTCATCAATAGATTTTACTAAGAATTCACAAGGAATAGAGAATCAAATATACAAAAACTTTTTTATAAGTTGTCAGAGTATTCAATCTTAAAAAATCTAAATTATTCACAATTTAGAAAAAATAAAGCAAGATCAATAAAGCAGAGGTGGGTGGGGAGAGAAGAGAGAAAAACAAAAAAAATTACTGATAGATATACTAATATCATGATCACCATGTTGTATGAACAACTATGCTATTAGAGATTCTCGTATAAATAAAAATAAACAGAATAGCCTTTTTCTATATACAAACTGCTATTTGTATGATCTGGATAGTACTCACAAATCCTATATGTTATACCATAGATAAGAGAAGACATATTATAGCTGACACTATGAACTAAAAATGATTTTCCTTTTGAAGTTTTATATGCATTTTCATTTCAGATTATATGATCAGACTCTCCCATTCAGATCAACATCTTAACTCATTAGAAATATCTTTGTTGGACCACACACCTTGATTTATTCCCTCCTGATGACCTCTTTTTCTACTACATTCCTGAGAAGATATCTCTGTCTAAGGAATCGTTTATAATAGTATTGCATTTCTGAGCATATAGTAGACAGATTAATCTAAGGGCAACTCCTCAAAGGAATGGAGGACAAAAGAAGGTGAGCACAAACATGGCTAGTGTCTTCCAAAGAACCCCATAGTGCTTGGGGTCATGAAAGAAAGGGTTTCGATAAGCAGCAAAAGCATTTCTGAGATAACGGACAGGTAAGTGGTCATTTTACAGACTTGGCTCAGGAGCTGAAAATGTTAAGTTTTACCAAAGTTCAGTCTTTCAGAGAAGTCAGAGTTCTTTCTGGGAAAGAGAATGGCAGCTGAATATAATACAATGCTAAAGTAAACTCTGGTTTAATTATTCTTTCTTTCTACAGTGGTAACCTGCTGCTGACTTCAAAGATTAGGAGAAGCCCCTCTGTGCCCCACCAGGAAATTCCAGGGTTTAAGCCAGGTTTTGCTTTCTGTAGCAATTTGTCTCCCTGTAGAATAAGTCATATTCTCAGTTCATTTAAGAATCACAATTCCCCCTTTCGGCTAAGGTCACAAAGAAAATGCCTTAAGCAAAAGAAAGAAGAAAAAAATAGCAGAAACTAATGAGATTCAAAAACACATGATATCACAAATGTGGTTTCAAGAGTCAATTGTGTCTCTATCCATTTTCTCATAATCGGGGATGGCAAAGATGAATTCATTTAGAATTTTCCTTAGCTGTGATCACTCTCCTATACTTGACTCCCCTGAAAGCAAGTTGATAACTCACACTTATACAAAGTTTTGTTTTGCAAAGTCTTTACATATAGTGTCTCTTTTGATCCTCCCAATAGTCCTGTGAGATGGACAATTCATTTAATATTATAACCTCTTAACTGAGGAAGAATCACTGAGGGAGATTCAGAGGTGAAATTACTTGCTTGAGATCACACAGCTAGGAAGTGTAAAATTAGTATTTGAAATTTAGTTCACTTCTGACTCCAGGTTCAGTGTTTTTATTTTATTTTGTTTTCACTACACCACACTGTCTCTGAAGGGAGATCTCAGTCATAACAAATGCGTTTGAAGAAATACACTGTGTGCCAGAAGAGGAAAAAAAAAAGAAACAGAAGGGGAAAAATAATGTATAGTTTTGTTCAAAGAAAATATAACCAGGGTATAGTACCTGAAAGAGATAGCTAGGATGAAGAAAACATATAGGGTTTTTTGTCTTCTTTTTTTCCATCTCTCATTGATCTCTTGTGGTCTCCAGGAAGGGAATTGGAAAAGAGCACAAGGAAGAGGAAAAAGGAATCAGTGGTAATGTGTTCACTAGCTTTGGGATCTGAGGCCAGGTAAGATGGGAGTAGAAAGGAATGTCCTTCATGGTATCTGATGAAAAGAGTGGGAAGCTTTGCTCCCTGCTCAAAGATGGGTAAACACCAAGTAAAACTTCTGAATCTATTTACGTGTTTGCCATTTCTTAACAAATATTTCATTGCAAAGCTTGTTATACCAAATATTTTCTGTCCTAAACCAGGTCAATATAAGTAATGTCACGAATAACCTACCTGTTGCAGGCTCCTTGGACCCATGTTCTTGTTCAGGAGGCTTGGCTGGAGACCAGACAGGGGGGGTTCTCCTTGGAAACTGCTCTTCTGTGTAATCCAGAGAATGTGTGGGTTGACTGACTGCAGCCCAGGTATAAAGCTGATCTTGCTGTATTAAATGTAAATATGCATGTATTAATTCAAAGTTAATCAATTAAATGAAGAATCAAACAATATTTTGTGGCTGCCATAGAAATCATCCAGTAGAAATTTCTACATAGAATATAGAATAATAGATCTAGAGTTTGGAAAGGTCAATAAGTCCAATCCTTGCATTTTACAGAGGAGGAAAGTGAAATCAGAGACCTTTAGTGACTTGATCAAGATCACATAGTAAATAAGCATCAGAAACAGGATTTGAATATGTCCTGTACTCCAGAGCCAATGTTCTTATAACTGTACCATGTTGCCTCCCTAAAAGACATCCTTATGTAATTAAGATTCAAAAGGTAAACTAAGATAGCCTTCTTCATTTTTACTTCATTTCTTTTCCTCTTTTCTTTCTCTCTTCTCTTTCTCTTTTTTGTTCTTTTTTTTTGTCTCCTTAACTCTCTTACCTCTTTTCCTGGAATCAGTATATAAAAATTCCCTCTGTGAAGTTGTTTTTAGTCATGTCCAACTCATTGTGACCCCATTTGGGGTTTTCTTGGCAAAGATACTAGAGTGATTTGCCATTTCCTTTTCAAGTTCGTTTTAAGATGAGAAAACAGAGGCAAGCAGGGTTAAGTGACTTGCCCAGGGTCAGACAGATAGTAAATGTCTGAGGCCAGATTTGAACTCAGGAAAACAAGTCTTCCTAACTTCAGGCCCAACATTCTATCCATTGTGCCACCCATCTGCCCTATTCTGTGTAATAAAGATATCTAAACCTATAGGGAATTACGGGACAAGCAATCTTTCTTCTTTTACTCTCTATTTTACCTTGGTACACCCAGAGAATATCTATAAAAATGTTAATACTATGTCCCTTTAAAAATTCTTTCCACATTTAAGGGAAAGCCAAAGGACATACTGCACTTAGGAACTTTTCAGTCAATAATGGTTTTCCGGCCTGCAACAATCAAAAGCCTAGGAAAGAGGCTTAACTTGTGATGAAATTGAGAATTGCTTATGAGAAAAAAGCCATGGGACACTAAAGGAAGGGGCCAAGACTAAAAGATCTGGAAAGAAATATTCCAATAAAGAAAGGACTTTCACACTTCAGACCAATAGGACCTAGCCAGAATGAAAGAGGACAACTTATAATTATATTGGCCAGCAGGCATTTTGGATATTCCAAAATAAAAGCAATTTTAAGGCTACTTAGGATGCCTGCTTATAATGTTTCCAAAATAATAATATATTTAACCATTCAAACACCCTGTGGCAAGTCACACAGATGTTCTGTGTTCAGTTTATAACATTAACTCTTTCTAAGTTTTCACTTCCTTATTATTTTTTTATAAATATTAGATGTGTATATAGTAAAAGAGGGGGAGGACTTTTATAAAGAACTTGTTCTCATCACCATAATTGGGGAATGAAAAGCTCAATGGTTTTATCCAAGGATTGGTGATGAATCATAGAATAATAGAACTGGGGCAGGAAAAGATTTCAGAGATCTTTGAGTCTAAGCCCCTCATTTTATATATGAAGAAACTGAAAGCCAGGATAGTTAGATATCTCCATATCTCAGCAATTCTGAAAGTTTCAATAGGTTCTAAGAGTCTTCATGTAATTTAAATTTAATTTTTTTTTAGAAAACCACTCATAAAATGTTTTTGCCCAGAGATAGGATCTGAATGCAGGGCCTCCAACCTCAGAGGCCATTGCTTTGCATTAAAGGGAAATGGCTGGATGGGTTTCCCTTGTCTTGAGCTGATGAAAACACAGAGATTCCTACATTTCCAAGCTGGTAAGCCCTAACTCAACTAAAACTACTCAACTTGACTAGTGGCAGAAAACACCATTATGACAAAGAAAAAAAAAAGTTTTAGGCACTGTAAATATTCACTACTACAAAGGGTATACAAAGACTTCCAAACTGAAGGCCAACCACATGAGATGTTTTGAATTTGGTATTAGGGGAACCTGAAAAGTTATATGTTTCCATTCAATTCATCACTATCAGAAAAAGAGAAAATTATTGAACTATATCAATACAGAAGCATCCTTAATCAATAAACTAACACACATTTGTTAACCACTTACCATGTACCAGATTATTATACACTTTGAACACAAATATAAAGGTCTGCAGACCTTGCATTCCATGGACTGACTAAAGACACAATAATGCCAGTTGACAGCATTTTAGGTGTCTGAATAATACTCTTTTACGATGCATTATTCACCACAAATGAGGACAAATATGAAATAGGACCCTAAATGCTGATTATTGCAGTCAAATCAGGCTAAGATTAAAAATGATGGAGGAAGATCTGGTAGCCATGGGTTATCTTTCAACAATCCCTTTCAATAATGGCATATAGGGATATTAACTAGACCAAGGGTAGGGAACCTGCAGCCTTGAGGCCACATGTGGCCCTCTAGGTCCTCAAGGGTGGTCCTTTGACTGAATCCAAACTTCACAGAAGTGAAATGAACAAATTGGGATTTGTTCTGTGAAGTTGGGATTCAGTCAAAGGACCACCCTTGAGGACCTAGAGGGCCACATGTGGCCTCCAGGCTGAAGATTCCCCACCCCTGACTCTAGACAACTGCTAGGTGAGGAATTTCCCTCTACCAATGCAGGTAAGCACTTTCTGTGGAACTTCTAGTCTTGGAGAGCTACCTATCACATTTAAAGGTTAAGTGACTTGCACAGGGTTAAACAGTGTCAGAGGTAGGACTTAAACTCAGGTCTTCATGGCAGCATGGTAGCATAGTAGATAGAGCCCCAGACCTGGAGTCAGGAAGATTTGAGATCCAATCCAAGCTTCAGACATTTACTAGTTTGTGTGACCCTGGGCAAGTCATTTAACCTCTGTCTTAGTTTTCCTGTCTATAAAATGGGGACAATAATAGTAGTAATTTTATGCACTAATAGAGCAATATGGTATTTTATTATATTCACCCTTAAAATGTCATGGTAGTACTTCCCTTATCATGAGCTCGTATTATTGTTTCCATTAGTGAAAAAAAATGAAGTTCAAATAATTAAATTCCACTACCTCCCAGGGTTGTTGTGAAGATAAAATACTATTTGCAAAGCACTTTGAAAACCTTAAAGTAACATATAAATGTGAGCTTTATTTTCACCATCATTATTATGCCACCTTCTTTTAGCTATTATTATTCATGGATTCAAGGTTAGTTTTCTATCCACTAGACAATTCTATCTCTCCATGGAAGTATATTTTCTTTTTTTATTTTATTTTATTTTAGACTCAAACACCAGAACACAAATACAGAATAGAGAAAAGGGGGAAAAGGTATCATAAACTTAAATATTGGAACTTAAATACAAAGTAAGAAAAGAAAAAAAAAAGCATGTCCTGTGCATAGCAGAACATGAGAGGATTCAAACTATATAATGATAAATTTGCATTTCCAGAAAGCCTGCATGATAAATACTACATGTTGTGTTGAAAGCTGTCCATCTTTTCTTTGCTTCCTTATAAGTTTTCTTTTGGTCTCTGCTGTGCACATTTTTACTTTGTTCTTTTTTATTCCCCCTTTCCCCTCCACCCAGAAGGTTAAAATTAAATGTGGATATATTTCTATATAGCTATAGATATGCACATATATATATAGACATATACTTTCCCCAATGAATTCCACTCCTGATCTTTATTTTTATGTTTGTGCACATCTCTTGTTTCCTATCCCTCTTGACTCCTCTGCTGTACTTCTACCTGCTACCTTGCCCTCCTATCACTTAGCCTATCCTCCTCCAAGGATCCCTCCCATATCATCCTATTCCCATTGATCTAAACAACCTTCTATAGCCCTCTTTAACCTATTCCCTTTATTTTTATACTCTTCTAGATATATACGTATTGCTTATATACCCATTCCCAATGAAAATAGGTTACCAGAACTACCAGTCCTCCTCCCCCATTTAATTTCTCTGTATCAATTCTTCCTCTTGTACTTCATCTGAATAAATTAATAACTCTTTTTTAGCTGTTCCTAAATGGCTTTACTTTTTAAAGTCATGTCATACTCAGGTCTACCCCAATCTTTCTTATGATCAACCTAATTACAATGACAATCTTAGACATACATTTTACATTTTACATATATAAAAAGTAAAAGGTCTGTCCTTATTGAATACCTTGCAATCACTTTTTGGCATATACCTTATATTTCTCTTGGCTCATGTATGTTAAATCTTCTAAGTTCAGGGTTTTTTTTAATTATTTTAACAAGGTCTTGAAAGTCTGACAGTATCAAATGTCCATTTTTTTTTTCTTTTAGGATTATACTTAACTTTGCTGGGTGTGATATTTTCAGTCAGAGTCCCAGTTCTTTTGCTCTTTGATATATAGTGTTCCAAGACCTGGGGTCCTTTAGTGTTTCCACTGCTAGGTCTTGTGTGATTCTAATTATGGCACCATCATATTTAAATTGATTTTTTCTTGTTGTTTTTCATATTTTATCTTTGAGCTGGGGGTTTTGGAATTTGACTATAATATTACTATGAGTTTTCCTCATAGGATTTCTTTCAAGTGATGATCAATGAATTTTTTCTATTTCTACTTTCCACCCTTGTTCTAATGCTTCAGGACAATATTCTTTAATTATTTCTTGTATTATTTTATCAAGATTCTTTTTTTGAGAGTGTAGGGGGAGAAACCAAGATGGCAGAGGGAAAGCAGTGACTTGTTTGAGCTCTCCCCCCAAACCCCTCCAAATACCTATAAAACATGGCTCTAAACAAATTCTAAAGCAGCAGAACTCACAAAAAGACAGAGTGAAACAAATTTCCAGCCAAGGACAGCCTGGATGGTTGATCGGAAAGGTATATCGCACCAGGCGGGGAGAGGAACACAGTTTGGTGTAGGTGCACAGGCCGCAGTGAACCTGGAGCAGGCCTCAGAGGACTGAATCTCAGGCAGCTGCGGCAGTTTCCAGACTTCTCAACCCATGAATGCCAAAGACAACTTGGAAGGTCAGTGGGAAAAG